CCCTCCACACACACACACACAAAAAAAAAAAAACAAGCACGCACAGACGGCGGCTCACAACGCCCCTTCGCCGCCGTCCAACGACAACTTGTTGTGTGGGAGCCTTATCTCCTCGCCAATACACACAAAATAGAAAGAAAAAAAATGCAAAATTAAATAATAATAATAATAACAATAAACGTCGCTAATGATGCCTCGACGCTATGCGCTGCGTTTTCCTTCGTTTTTTGATTTTTATTCACTCAAGTCGTTTTCTCGTTTTTCCCGCAAAACTCACCCACGTTTGCGGCCCGGTGAGTACCGTTCCTGTTATGGCATAATGACGCCGTTCTCTCTCGACGATGTTTTTTGGCGTTTTTGTTTTCCCCCTTTTATCCCACGTTTTGTTTTCATCGCTCCCCAAAAATAAAAATAACAATAACAATAAATAAAAAAAGTAAAACAGGGAGAGGAGGAGGGGCGGGAAGCCGCACGAGGGCACACAGACGGGCACCGACCCTCCCGAGCGGCCGCTCCGCAGAAAGAGATTGGACCCAGAAGACAAAGATAAAAACAATAAAAATAACAAGTCCGAAACCCCAAGTGGCTCGCACACCACGCGTTACACGCAAGCAGAAATGTGCACCCGTGCGGCGCATGCGCGTGCCCGGCTAGAGGATAGGCTTGAGCGCTTTCCCCTCCGAGATTTGCTGGAGAAGCGCCTCGCAGTTCATCAGGCAGCGAGGAAGGTGGAACGGGCCCTTCCACAGGGACCCCTTTTGCGTGTGCGACACGGTGCCGTCGCGGTGGAGGTAGCCGTACCACTCGCCGTGTTCCTTGTCGGCGAAGCGGCCGAAGGAGTAGACGTGCAGACGCTCGAACCACTTGAAGTACTTCTCGTCCTTGGTGAGCCCGTACGCCATCAGGGTGGCGATCAGCGCCTCGTTGTGCACCCACCAGAGCTTCATGTCCCACTCCAGCTGCTCACAGGGACGCTTGTCCACGTCCGCAAAGTACAAAATTCCACCAAACTCCTCGTCCCAACCAATCTCCAACGACCAGTTCAAGATGTTGAGCGCCTTCTCAAGAAGGACCTTGTCGTTCGAGTAGATCGCCTCGTTCATCAGGAACCACGAGTTCTCAATGGAGTGGCCGGGGTTGATGCAGCGCCCAGCCGGCGTGTCGATCTTGCCGCCGTCAGGCCCAACGCACTCCAGCACGCAGCGGTACTCGGGCTTGTAGTGGTAGCGCATGATGACGTCCACCACCTCCCTGGTCACCTTCGTGTAGTAGTCCGCCTTGGCGGGGTCGCAGCGACGCAGCAGCTGAGCACAGCTCAGCAGCACCATCGGCACCGCGCACGCACGGTCGCTGCGCGTCTCCGTATACGACTTGGGGGTTATCTTGAACGGATCCTTCTCCGGCGTGCGGAACAGCTTCAGCATCAGCTCATACCGCTCCTCCGCCTTCCTCAGCGCCTCCTTGTCCCCCGTCGCGAGACCGTACTCCGCCATCGACATCACATAGAAGCTCTCCGAGTACATGTAACGCCGCTTCCGCAGCGGCTTGCCCTCCGCCGTCACTGTAAAGAACATCCGGCCGTCGGTGTCGGTGCAGTACTTCTCCATAAACTCCTTGCCGACACGCGCCGCCTCCAGCCATTCCTCCCTCGGCCCGTAGCGATTGATCAGCGCAGAAAACGTGCACAGGCAACGCCCCTGGAACCACACCGACTTATCGTTGTTGTAGGAGCGGCCCTCACGGTCCACGGAGGTGATATAGCCCCCGTGCTTCCGGTCAATGAGGTCGGAGCGCATCCAAAACGGAACGCAGTCGCCCATCAGCTGGTCATGGTAGAACTGCCGGTACGACTCCAGGGTCTCTTTTGTGACTGGCATTATTCTTCTCGAGCTCTGCTTTGAGTAGTTCCCACTGTCCTTCTTGTTACTTGTCCTCGATGTTCACTGTTGCTTGCTGGGTGCCCCACCGCGGACAGCACGCAAAATATACATATATACACATATATATACAAATGGAAATACAAAAAAAGAGGAGAGAAGTGAAGCTATCCAGCGACTGCAACAGCCATGTGACACAGGGCGACCCTGCAGACCTGATGCGTTCTCGGCCACGCCGCATGCGTCTGAGAAAAAAAACAGAAATAAAACAACAACAACGTCTTAGGGCCCACGCCTACGCACTGCGTGGGCTGACGGAAGTCAGACGGCAGCGCGGCCTTTCTGGTTTCGCCTCCTCCTGACTAAGCTCATGCGGGCTGGGCCTCAAGGACGGCCATGGAGCATCCCACACTCCTTCCACTCCCGCTGAGCCTACACAGCCCAGCAGCGAAAGAGCGTGCAATTCACGAGGCTTCTCTGAGCGGCCCACCGTGAACCCGCCGCGTGGACCTCCCCACCCACCCACCCCTGCCGTCACGCTCCAACGTGCAGGGGAGCCCGCGCACACTCTCCGCAGCCCCAGCCAACGCCTTCTCCTCTCTTACGGGACCCCCTTCGGCACCGCCGCCTCTCTGTCCCACCCCTCGATGGCCTCCGCACGAGACTCACGCAAAGCCGTGTGACCGCGACCGCGACCGCGACCACCACCGCCAACAGGCCCAAACCAACTGGCCAGGCACCTTGTTCCCCTCCGCCCGCCGCA